CTAGATCTGAAGGTGGGTGACTGACTTTCAAGAGCCAGTCTGAAGGTTAATTAGAATACATCTATCTCCTTTTGTGTACATAGTGTTATAAATATGGTTACAGGTTACGGTAGAATATAATGATGTGTAACAAACTATTATTATTGTCAACTACCCTTAATTGTGATGGATAAAAGGGCTATCAACAGAGAGCACGAGACACAGAACTCCTGAAAACTGACCCAAAATTAAGTCACATTAATTAGGATCATGAACCACAAACTTCACCTACGATTCATGTCCAGTCGGATAGTTTGTACAAAGCGTGTATTATGTATGTATTATGCTTGTACTGACAATCATACATATGGGTTTCTTCTTGGCCAAAGGCAACAGGCACTGCTCTAAGCATAGCTAAGTATGTTCACATCAGCTCCGTTATCATCTTCACTATTCCTGCACCTCAGACATTTCCAATTTTATTCGCATCTGTGACCCCATTCAGTATCAATCAGCAGCCATTCGTAAATACAGGAATACACTGGACAAAGGCCTGCCATTTTGAAAATCATCCCCTCTACCCCTCCAAGCTCACAGGCTTTCCATGCTTAAACAGACAACACTCTAAAAGTGTTGGTGGAAAGAATAACAGCACCAATATTAATGTTGTTAGAAGAAAATAGAGAGGTAGGATAAACAGTTTTGGGATGATTGTGACCAAGGCTTGCTAGGCCTGCAATATTTCTTGTAGGTCGTAAATTTGATTGTGACCGGGATGATTGTGACCAAGGCTTGCTAGCTAGGCCTGCAATATTTCTTGTAGGTCGTAAATTTCTTCAACACCAAAATTGACCCAGGTACAGCATACCTGATCTGCGTACACCTGGACTGGTGAAGTAATCATAATTATTGGATGTCATGAGTTCTAATCTAAGCAAGGAAGATCCGTCATGCACTGCATTATCAATCATTGATAAAATGTCAAATTTACAGCGATGTTGATGCATATATATATGGATCTATACTAAAGCTGAATTCTTGTTCGCTGTACACGATCTTGGTATACAAGTTTTATATTGACAGTTGATATATTTTTCCGGAGATATCTGTTTTAGTAGGTCAATTGGTCAATTGACATCATCAAAGTACTGGATCACCTGTCAATGTGACTGATTACCATACCGACTGTCATCACTAGTATTTATCTGGTACTAGCCTTGGGGTGTCTCACATAATCCAACTCTACTTCTGGTTAAGAGAACATGTTGAAATTCCTAACAAATAATTAATTAATGATTGATTTTTCCAAATTCCTTGGTTCAATGGAACCAATGCAAAATATAAAGTAGAAGTTCAAAAGATGGTGATTGTTGTAAAATGCAAATGAGGAGGTGGGTTATTATTCAATAACGACTTTTTCCTGAAGTCAAATTATTCAGCCATAACTCTGATAACTACTGCTGTATTTTCTACTCTGATGACTATATGTTCCAACTCAATACCTAAGGCATAACAATAGTTCCATCCTCGTATGGCCGTCAACATATATTTTTTGAAAATTTCAGAGCTAGATGCAAATAATTTTCCCCTCCAACACATTTGAAACTAATTCATAATCAGCATTTTTTTATATGATATGCATTAATAATTGTATAGTAAGCTACACAATGCAAGCTATTCCTTTCGTCTTAGCAATAAAGGAAAACAGATCTATAATAAGCAATCTAAAATTCATTGTTGTTTGTACACTGTTTGTGCAATCAGACACAGGAGAGTTCTAAAACCAGTACTAATACTACACAAAAACACCTGTAGTAACAGGAGAGTTCTTAAAGCAGTACCAATACTACACAAAAACACCCGTAGGAACAGGAGAGTTCTAAAACCAGTACCAATACTACACAAAAACACCCTTAGCGACAGGAGAGTTCTTAAAGCAGTACCAATACTACACAAAAACACTAATAGGAACAGGAGAGTTCTTAAAGCAGTACCATTATTACACATAAACACTAGTAGGAGTATAGGGAAAGACTGGTTTTATCATCAATATCTCATACCTTCTAAAATGTATTCAGCATCCTTACAAACCAGAGATATACACACTGAATGTATGTACCATCTCAGGAGGATTTCTATAACATAACACAAACTATCTGGGATTCTGGCCAAAACATTTCTTGCACTGGTCTCACACTTGGGGACGGTTTAAACTCAAAACAGATCTTTGATTCAAGGCTTACTCCAGTTCAGACTTGCAGAATTTCAAATATCTAACAGATTCGTATCGCTTTGTAAGGATCATCAGCAAAGTTTATAGAAAGTGTTTTAATTCTAAACATCTTTAAGATGGGTATGGATTCCATTGAATCAGCATGAAAGTTTACATCAAGAGTGCTAGTGTCTTAATTGCTTTAAAATTCATCTTGAATATGATAACAAAATTTGAACTTTGGGATTGGTACAAACTTTCATTTAAAAACAATTGTACAAGATGGTCAGTGCTCCCTTCAAGACAGAAAGGTGATATACCTGCAGGCAGAAGTCAGTACACTCGTAGTACTAATGTAACAAGAGAGAAAAATGCACGGCCGGACCGGGATTCAAACCCGGGACCTTCCAAAATCAAGATTGACGCTCTACCAATTGAGCTTCCTGGTCGCCAACGATCGACCCAATCCAGGTCCGCTATACGGGACCTTCCAAAATCAAGATCGACACTCTACCAATTGAGCTACATGGTCGCCGACAATCGACCTCATACAGTTCCGCTATACTAATTGTATTACAGAACACAGAATTTACATATAGAAATGTACATCACTGTTGTTCATGGAATGACAAAAGATGTGTAAATTCTATACATACACTAACTGTAACAGTATAAACAAATACCATTCATTGATGTGTATGTAATCAGTTGATAAATTATACCTCATCTTTATAACAGCGTGTCTGATTGGATGATACTGGTCACATGATAAAACATCCTGTCACCGTCATACACTCAAGTTTTCCCAATCAAACAGGGGTATATCCTGTATTCGGAGCCTCTCTAGAACAAGAATTCCATAGGAGTGGATGTGTTGCCTGCTCAGCACTTATAGTAAGAAAAGTGTTTTGCACATAAACTTCTGAAATGCGAACCTATCCCAGCTATATTGGTATGATTACAACAATGGCGCGGCAACCTCATCATTTCTACCATAGTGTTATTTTTTCTGATTTATTTGTTTATTTTTGAAGCATAATGAAATATTTATTGCTGTTACTGTAGGGTAACACAATTCCTCCTTTCTCTGAGGTTTGTCATGTTTCTACGCTACATCGCAGTAATTACTTTTAAAATTATATAGACACCAGAATAATCATTCTAAAATAGGAATCCTGATTTCTATGAACACTATATTCCTGTTGTCAGTTACCTGTTTTATTATATAACACTTCTTCCCATCCCTGACTTCACCAGACACCTATCACAAACAACATCTCAAAGATTCCCTAAATACCAATAAATATCAGTGAAGGAGACATCCTTGTCTCAACGCTCCACATTCCAAGCATGTTTTTCCACTATGTTTTCACACATTTGTTATTATTTTCTAAATTCCTCATCTGACAAATATGTTTAAAAACATTTTTTTTTTTTTTCAAAATTCGTTCAGGACAGGCTGCGATAGATGATAACACAGACTATAAACATTTGTTTTTACAGTAGAAAGTTTGAGGGAGCTTTGACAGATGTGTTTCAATATAGATATGCCCTATACTATATGTAGTGTTGTGTAGGTATCGATTAAAGTTTCCTATAGATCGGGGTGACGGACATACATGTTCAGTATATTCGTATTCCTGTACGATTCTCCCTGCATATGTACAGCACATGTCAAACAGTTTATCAAAACTCCCTGGTATTTTAACCCACATTCAGTTGTGTAAGCCCCAGAAAACAGTGAGTGATAGAGGTCCCCTGAATTAGGGAGAGACACGTGTATCAAATGCTTTTGTTTTTGTCATATATGCGAAGTAGGTAAAGTTGCCTCGGTTTGGTCGATTTAAAAACTGAATGGCAGATCTTTAACGTGACCTACAGCGCCTCCGCTAGCACCCACTGTAACACATTTACATCTCTTTCAGCATTCTTGTCATGTTTCAACCACAGAAATGCAATACGACCCCAACTCTGTTCAACTTTACAGTTCACCGACTCTAAGAACAACATACCCTCGACTACAATGAATTGTATATCATCTAGTATCCCTGCATTTAAAATACACACACACAAACTTAATTCCTCTCAAATATTGATTTCTTCATAAGTGTACAAAAACTTACTTCATTCAGAAATTTTCAATTTATACCTAGTTTTCAAAATAACTTAACTATACATGTGTGAATTTGAAAGAGAAACTGATTGTCCCTATTTTTTAAAATCTGGCTTACATTATGAATTCTTTAAAGCACCAATTTACAATAAAGCCAAGTAATTTTAACCATTTTAACTTACACAAGCAAGAACTGGATAGAGGAAGTAAGAAATTAGCAGCAGAAGTTAAATACGGAAATGATTCTCAATGGGCCGTGCATCAAAGAGACTGACTGTGGTCACACTCCAGCGACCACCCTATACTAAATAACTGGCCTATTTCTGCCTTCCCTATTTAGAACACAGAACGTACCTGATAGTCCCCAACCAACCTTGAATGAAAACAATTTGGGCCTGACTCACCTGTATGAAATGAAAGTAGTGAGAGGGCTAATTCAGAATCGATGTGCTGCTCATTCTGAATTTCTGACCAGATAGGGCCCTCGATACACCTGGGGGTACAGCGACGTAATTTCATGCTCTATATGTCCCTTGTAACCGCCATCCTCGGATAATAGTTATCAGACTAAATCTAAAACCCATTCATCTCGGCTCTACTTCTCTTGTACATGTATTGACAAACTGATGTTGTAACTCTACCTCAGAAAAATGAAGCTATATTATACGGCATTTTTGATTGCTCAGCTAAACTCACCTCTTGGTCTGTGTATGCCCAGTTTAATCTATGTGGCCGACTCCTTCAACGTGACCCCATCAACACAATGTCAGCTAGTATTATATTATCATCTCACACAGGCCGGCATCTGTGAACAATTTTTTCCATGACCTGCCAATGAAAAAGTAAGCACGAGTCAATTGTGAGGGGATTTGATACTCGCATAGGAAGATTCTCCGATCTCCATTGTCCTCGTGTGGAACAATGATGCTAACAATATAAACGTGCAGATGCACTCTGTATACAAACTCAAGGTAGGCAATCCAACTGTACTTACAGCCTCAAAACACATTTAATATGTCCCAATCCATCAAGAATTTTGATACTGGAACAGCGGAAGACTGCATGTAATTTACGCTAAACAATCCCAGATTCCTGGGCCATACAATGGCAGATGCCCCTCGACTTGTATAGACAGATATTGTGTTGCACGGTTTAAAAGCCATCCACACCTTTCACATATTGGGTTTCATGTTCCTGTGTTTGCTACATGTAATATTAGCATGCATACCAAGTGAGGTGGAAACCTATCTCCTGATGTTTCTATAAGCTGGTGCAGGTACACACACACATGTACCTGTCCTGTGCCCAACTTATACATCACATACATCACACTGTCCTTTGTTAGCTTCAGGGGGACAGGTCTGGAGGGAGGTACCAACCCCCAACCCCCTTTATACCCCCTTTTGTTTCTATAAGCTGTTTAATTACTTTGTACACACACATTCAGTGTACCTGTCCTGTGCCAACTTATACATCACATATAGACATCACACTGTCCTGNCCCCGACCCCTCTACTGCCTATTGGATGAAGTATATGGTTGGGTATGTTGCTGCCACAAGTGTTCACCTGGAGCCATTCATTTGTCTCATATAATGTCACAACTCAAAAAGTCAAAACCTATATTAAAATTTTGATATCAATTAACCCATAACCATTTACTTCTGATTTTCTCTCCAGTTTACGCTGTTTGGCCCGGAGTGTTGTTTTATTGAACGCCTTGAGTCGGCCCACCTGTTCAGTGTTATCTTATATTACCCATTATCAATAATCATCCAACATGCACACCCCACCAGCGCTCTCCACCAGGCCTAATCTGCTCTATGAGAAGCAGGATTCTGTGTAGTTATATGTTATATATGGGGTACATTTACAACCAATACAGATATCTTAAACAGGCTTAAAGATATCGGAGAAAGCAATGATTATGTGGGGAAGGTGTGATCACAACTCGTTATATTTCCAGTGTTATAGGTATTGATTTCTTTTGTCCAAGTTCTGATAATCAAGTGACAAATCCCTAATTGTCCTGCCATGTACAACTAAAACACTTATATATTGCCACAGAATTCAGAATTTCAAGTTTAGAATTATTTATGGTAAAATGTGTAAGATGAACAGACACCTCTATATTTAAAAGTAAAACTTTGTATATATCTGATTTTATTTTACTAACACGTATCTAACTAAATAGTAAATACAGTAATTAATGGCAACATGAACATTAACAAAAAAAACTCATCAGAAAATACAATACCTTATAAGGCAGATTATATACATTACTGATTATATCATTACAGGTCCTAACTCCTCTACTCTAGTGACGTCAAGACTTCAATACAATCTCTGGACTTTTATTATCTACATGCAAGATGATTTTTTTTTGTAGTACATGTACTTAGATTTTCTCTTCAGGACACGTTTGAATTTATATTATTGCTCGAATATAGTTCTCTTACCTTATATAAGGGATGTTTGTAAAAGAAATGCTTTTCTGTTTCAATAACCTTGCATAGTTCCTCCTTCAATTAACCTTACATATATAGCACATACTAGAATAAGACATTCCAGGTTATAATACACCCTCACCCGACCCTCCCTGACGTAAAACATGTTGTACACAAAGCCAGCTAGCTAGTAAACCACAGTCATGTCCCGTGTCACTCAATCGACTCCATCTCCTGGGGAATGGTTACTACCACAATGGTACATAGGTCATTGGCCCTCACTACCAGTGTTTCCTGTCAGGAGATGACATCACATCGACACATACACAATTACAGGTGAAATACCTTACGCTTGGGTATAAGGATATTACCTGTCCCTGTAATATTCTGTAGAATGATGCTAAAAATAGAACCATCTTTTTTTAATCTTGACAACAATCTCTGTTCAACAGCATCTTTGAATTTTTTGATATAAAGAAAGATCTACAGAAGCTATATCTTATTGAAGATTTCCAAATGTTTGAAAATCAAATGACAAAAAAATATTTAATAACATTTTCCATTCTATTTTAGTACTCAGTTGTTATAAACCTAAACAGGTATTATTTGATCCTTGACACAATATTTCAAATTCCTGAATTTTGGAGGGTCAAAACACATGTCAAAAAGACATATCTTTTCAATTTAAAGAGTCCATGAAGGTCATTTTTCGAGAGTAAAAAAGATACTGACAAGGGTCTACTGAACACCCTGGCAAATATCCACCAGTGCCTTACATTATGGCCCAGGTACATATAATACATACATCATGTTGGTGTAAATATAGGTTGAGATGTAAGGCTGAGACAACCATGGTCCTATAACTGTGCTTGTATGTCACTGGTCAACGTTTAAGAAAACATACATAATGAACTAGACATTGATTTCTGACAAGACAATTATATTGATCAATGGGCATTTCTTTTGGCATACCATCTCCAAACAATCAATGAGGCTAATATTTCATTGATAACTTCAAACTATTGCTCTGATGTACAAACTGGAGGCAAAACATCATTATTACGAATTTGGATGTTTGGAATATGCCTCAATTATCTCAAAGTCAATGCTTTATCCCAGGAATTAAAGAAAAACACAATAAATAAGTGTTATTTTCGATGTCAGTTAAAGGTTGTGCGTGATGTTAGGTTTATTATATGCCTACTATAATTTTTTGTATGCATATTGTTACATTTCCAGCAAAATATTATCAAATATAAATGTTTAATTTGATTCCGGAAACATGACCCGAAAAAATATAACCGACTTTGAACGATAATTATCGACAAAAAAAACCATAGCGTACAATGATGCTAAAATAGTTAAAACACGTTTTTTTTTTCAATTCATCAACTATAAAGATTATATGATGACAGCTGAGTTTCAGCCACGACTAATAGGGTAATACATTTTTCTTTCCAACATATTGAACCTATATTGCATGGCCATGCAGAAAGATTTGCCATGTATGTAATAAAAAACAATGAGCTTTGATTACGATGTAACCAGAGATTGAGGCAGACGGTTTATATCTATATATGGGTTGAGATATCAATCGGACATGACTATAGTCTGCCTTTCCAACAGAGGTCAGCTGTTGTTTTACAGATTGTTATCTTTAACTTTTACAACATCACAGACAGAGGAACCTCTCCTTAGTAATGCTGTAAGTAAATTAAAGGCACAGTAGGGTACATGTCCATGTTACCCTTCATCTTGTATAGCGTAAAGCAAATATTTGAATAAAGACAAACACACAAACAAATGTGCCCTTGATAATTTATGAAATTATGAAAACAATCTTGGAAAATTTTCCTTTCAACAAGACCTAGCGCTTCTCCTTTCTTGGAGGAGACCAAAAGAAAAACAGCAGAAATTCAGCAGAAATTCAGCAAAAAAAATTCAAACTTATATAAAGACAAAGCCTGCACATACCAGTATACACATGCACCTGACTATCCAAATATTGGATATAGATTTGACAAAACATGCATATGCCAGTATATATAGAGAATGGACAAAACTGACACAATTTCATTTATAAATACACGAGAATATTTTTTTATAAAGGCGTACAGGAAATACAAGCAATTCTGTCTATCCCGTCAACATCTCAAAATCATCGATAAATGTACCAGTCAATGATACAAAGTCAGAATTGAATTCGGGAATCATGATCACGAGATGTTTCAATTTTGAACTTCAATAGCATTGATATATCTGTCAATCAAAACAGTTTTATCATTAACGTAAATTAGCAAAACACCAGAAATTCCTTCTCAACAAATTCTAACATATCTAGTTAGTCACAGATACCTAACACAATCAGCTACGCTTCATATACTTCCCCTGCTGTCACCAGGAAATCTGACATAAACCGCAAAACTAAATAGGGCTTTAGAATTCAAAGAGCGGGATGTTAAGGTACAGCTTGTATTTGGAATTACAAGGTGAGAATCATTAAAAGTGATTTAAATTGTGCCCTTGTGGTGGTCATGTTCTATCTTCAGGGCGTCTTAATCTTCAATAAAGCAATGTGTGAGTACGTGGTTTTCAATAAAGAAGAGTTCAACCAACCTGTAAACAAATTTCTTGTTCAGACATGTGCTTCTTTTTATTTAATATCTGTTCATTTATACAGATTTAATGCCAAAAGTTCACGCATTAGTTCACAAAAAAAAATATTTTAAATCCTATCCCGTCTCTTCAAGGTTCTCTAGATCGACATGTATGGCGATATATCATGTACCATTTACATGTACAGATATTTCACCTTTGTAGCTACTATCATTAGTTTCCAGTTCTCTTTGTCTATTGTTTTCGGTAGAGTGTTTTCCATTGTTCCTATGTCATCCATTGAAACCCATCATTTAGTTCCCGAGTCACATTCCTTTCATGAACATGACAAATTACCAAAATATCATATCAAAGCTGGAATTTTTGTGCTGGAAGTTGCTTTAAAGATAATTGAACTGTGTCTGAATAATTTATAAACTGATGATATATGCCATTTTCTGTTCATCTGCTTGTGTTGGAAAACAGGCAAAATATTGATTTCTTCATAACTTTATCCGCACAAGGATCAAAACAGTGTATAAGCCCCGGCTTTGTACCCGTCCTCCTTTACAATGTGTGTATATATCCAATTTCGGTCATCCAGTGCATGAATGTATGATCCCTTCTGGCCAAATGTGTTGACCTATGACCTTTTTTCCCATCAAGGATGTACATATGGTAGATGAAGTACAGGGTTTTATTTTAGAGTTTTAAAACTTCAACATCATCCTGGGCTCAATAAGCCACCTATTTAAGTTTCAATGGCGACAGGAAATACTCATTAGCA